AAGTTTTTTTATATCATGTTATAAAAACTTCAGTTGCCAAATATCTTTCATCTGTCTCAAGTCATATGCACTGTTGTCTGTCATGCTTTTTCTCTTTAATTCTTTTAAATAATGTATTGGTCCATTAAAGTAAAATTAAAGGGCGGGTTCTCTAAATGAACCAACTCTAAATTAAGCACCTTAAGGTGCCCCTATTGATGAAAATAATTAAATGGTAAAAGATAAATAGATGCATGAATGATTTCTACCATGCAAAATATTCAACAATAATATGTAACTTTGATACATTCTAAAGGAGAAGCCCTGAATCAACTGAAAACGATGCCTTTAGCAATCATATATAATCTTAGCACAATAACTATTTCGAGTTGATCTCCTAAAGAATTCTATATTTTTATTATTTTCAATAAAGGCAGACACACAAAATAATATTCAGTTTAAATACCGCTTTGACCGACTGTATATTTGGACACTCAGTTGAGTTTACAAATGTATATACAGTATGTACACAAATGCAGTCCCTATATAGTCTACCTACAGTGTACAACATAACAACTAAGTTATTAAATTAAAACAGGCACTGATAACCACATAACATCTACTGTAATATAATGTATTACTTTTACTTTTGTCCACTTTTCCTCTTACATTGCAGAGGTGCAGCCGTAGAGCTGCTCTGAAGCTCCTCCCTGACATCTTCTGTGGGGTGTAGCATTGTCACTTCGTGTGTTAGGTCTGTTATGTGAACATTGGCGGTGCAGCAACCAACTTCATCTTATTTCTGACTTTGGAGGAGCCCAGTATGCTTTGCCTGCTCCAACATATCCCATCTGGTAAGTCGCATGTTGTCATATCGTCATAAGTTAATTCATTTGTCTAGTTGCTGGTGCAAAAACACAAATGATACCAACTTTTTATTATTATCATATATGTTTGACTACTCCTGAAAATTATTATTAGAAAAGTATTCAAACTTTTTGCCATATTTATTATAATAATTTTAAGTAAAGTATTCAAACTTTTTGCCATATTTAAAGTACCAGTTAGTTACAAGAAGTGTGTATTCTCAAAAGCAGTGTATACTACAAAGAAGAGTAAATATTTATTAAAGGTATTATTAATACTATTGTTAAGATGGCTTTGGAATATTAAATTGTTATTTTTTTACATCAGATTGCTAAGGATTTCACCACACCCACTACCGTTCTGCTGAGGTCGAATTCTCAATGTTTTTTATATATTATAGTGTTCCACTTAAACACCATAATTGGTTTTTATATCCTATTCATTAGAGAGTAAAATGGCATTTTTAAAAATAAATGCTAATGTTGTTTTATTACATATAATGTCTGCAATTACACTTTCTAGTGCAATTACAAGCACAACATGTATTTTGAACTGATTAAACTGAGGAGTCTTTTATCAATCTGCACTTCCTGCCCTATTTGATCTTCCTACCAAAAACTCCCCATTGTTACCACAAAAAAAAAAAAAAAAAAACAGGAACAGATGAACCCATCCTTAGTCTAGTCCCTGCTCTGAATGAGCAGAGAAAACAGACAATGTCAGCCACATTACCGCAGCCACTGCTCACAGTCTGTGAGTCCAAGTGGGAAGATTTTTTTGACAAGGCTCAGCTGTGAATTCTTATCGACCTCTAAGGCAGTGATGGTCAAATTTAGTCTCTAATAAAACTCAAGGGTCAAATCACCTAGTTAGAAAAACATACTAATTTTTTGTCTTTATTCAGACACCATAAACCTCTATCCGGGTTTAGGGAGGGCTACAGTCAGTGTAAGTGCGTTTGAGTTTGAATCACTTAAAAAAGAACAGAAAAAACGGCCTACACATACTTGTGATTTGTTTTGTTTGTTGTCATTTGTTAAGCATGTCTATCAATTAGAGTTAGAGAGAGTTTCTGTGTTGAGTGATGTGTGTTTAACTGTAATGGGAAAATATAATCTTTTATACAGTAAATGCTAATCCAGGCATGGGCAAACTAAGGCCTGAGGGCCGGATGTGGCTCATTCAGCTTTTTTATCCGGCCCACCAAACTTTTCCTTTTTTTTTTTCTTGTCATTTATCTTAGTTCACACGAACTCTCCATCTATCTGCTCCTGACCCGGCCCCCCTGCCCAATTTTAGGACAATTGTGGCCAAGAGTGGCCATTTATCCTCACAATGTTAGAAGCCACAAAACAATGATATTCTTCTTGTTATTTCATCATCATTATTTTCTTTTCCCTTTAAGCTTATTGGGGCACCGGCAGCTTCCTGGCATGTATCATCTTCCTCGTTTCCTTCTCTGGACCAGTTTGTTCTCTTCAGGCTCCTGCAGTGACAACAGGTCTCCACTCAGCGTTTTCGGCCACACAAACCGACTGTGTGGTGGGGGGCAAGCAGAAGGCCGTGACCTTCAACAGGCTCGTGGTCAACATCGGAGGTGATTTCAATCCAGATACTGGCCACTTCCGCTGTCGCATCCCCGGGGTTTACTATTTTTCTTTCAACGTGGGCAAGTTTCCGAAGAAAATACTTTCTGTTTTCCTGGTGAAGAATTGGCAAGAGGTCCAGACCATTGCATATGACAGCTACCTCAAAGAAGGACGGAAGGTTCAGAGCCAGAGCATAATGATTGATTTAAGGCAAATGGACACAGTGTGGCTGCTTCTACAGCAGACTCCTCAGTATGCCTTGTACAGCAACGTAGGTCCTTACATCACCTTCTCTGGTTACCTCGTCTACCCTAACATCCCAGTGACCAACGACATCCCCCATCAACAGCTGCCACCAGGCCTCTTTGATTCCAACTGTCCTCCTCAGGCCAACCCTCACGTCAGTGGTCAAATGTTAGTACAGCCACGGTCGGCCTTTTCTGTGGCACGGACGTCCACGCTCGTAGGTCAGACTAAGAGGCAGCAGAAAAAAACACCTCTGACCTTTGACGTGGAGTACGTCAACATCGGTGGACATTTTAATAAATCTGCCGGCCTCTTCACGTGCTACTTCCCCGGCGCTTACTTTTTTGCGTTCACGGTGGGCAAACACCCTCGTAAGGCTGTTTCTGTGAAGCTGATGACTGGGAAAGGTGACGTACAGGCCATGGTGTTTGATGAGGACATGTCGAAGAGAAGGGAAATGCAGAGCCAGAGTTTGCTGCTGTCTCTACGGCGGGGCGATCAGGTCTGGCTGTACAGTCAGCAGGATGAACGTTACGCTGTGTACAGTAACCAGGGAAGGTACACCACCTTTTCTGGATTCCTGGTTTATCCTGAAGCATAAGTAACAACAGCTTCAATTTATCTATAAGCTTAATTCTGTGTCAGGATAGTGTGTATAAAATCAATGCTTTGATTAGGAGGATATGTATATGTATATTCCAGGTCCCAGGTGCATCCATGAACAAAATCATTGATTGAATTGCCAAGTGTGTTTTCATTGTAGTGCTATGTGTGGCAAAGGCATGGTGGAATTCCTATTCTGTATTTCTATTGTCAATGTTCTGTAGCTTAAATGATAATTCCAGTCCTTAGAAAATCCACACCCTTGATCCACTGAGGAAAAATGATTTGAAAAAAAGGTGGAGAGTATAACTGTAATGGTTTAAACCTTCAACCTAGCAATGGTATTCATTAAGGTAGAAAATGATAATTCTACATATTTAAAAGATTTATTTCTTTCATTGTGTGAGGACATTTTCAGAAAAGAGGGAAAAAAAGTCTTTTTGAAAAATATTATATAATTGAATGCTGTCTAAATGTTACCCTTGGAATAAGTTCAAGAGTTTCAATTAGTTTGACTTATGACACTGCACCTTAAATGTGCAATGTACACCTTTATGGTTAAATAATTTAAACATATATTTAAGTTGTTGTATCAATGTCCAAGTCCAATGTCCAAGTCCAAGTCCAAAGTATGGAATGTGTTTTGTTCTCCAGAATATAAACTCTTCTGTTTCAAAGTGGAGAGAACATCACATCACATTGTTCAACACAATTGTAATACGGTTTTTTTTTTTGCTGTATATGTCCTTCTGCATTATGTGCTGGGCATTTTTTTTTTTTTTGCCGTGTATGTCCTTCTGCATTATGTGCTGGGCAAGAATATTAAGGTGAGATATTAAACCACAACATGTGATTTCACCAAAAGATTCCACCTCCAAGATTTCTACCAGATGATCTCAGAGTATACAGTTCCTACTTCTTAACATTTGCTTGCTTTTCGTGTATGTGCTGTAAACACTAATCCATTTGCAGATACGCTGTAATTCTGACTTAGATAACTGACTTAATAAACACATTAAATGAACATGGTGATGGCGTGACGCAAATGCAAAGAAAAACGAAAGAAACCTACATAAATGTCTTAATGTTAACATGCTGAAAAATCATTGCCATGGCTACGCAACATGATGTTCCGGTGTTATGTGAAACCTCATCATCGTTGAGCCGATGGATCAGAGCCAAGAATGCTTCTATATCGGTGCTGGATGCAAGAAGCTGCTAGGGGCAGTAGCATCTGTGCTCTACCTTAAATGTAGCACCATGTAAACAGAAGCATTTTTGTGAGTAGCAATGATGTTAAACACAAGTGGAACATGTTATGATGAAGCACAGTGTGTATCAAGTGAAACTAAAAGAAGATGATGCTGCCTTTACAAATCCTGGGGTTCTCAACTTACTTTTGGAATTCCATTCTTACGACATAACTTGATTTTTGCTGAACTCACATACTGTACATCAGTGGCAGCACCATGATGTAAAAAACAACAAACAACATAAACAAAAGAAAGCGAATGTAGCACAATCCAATGTGTGGTGTACAACTGGTGAATGTAAACAAAGCTGTCTTCCGCATACAGTGTGGCATGATGACAAATATTTGTCCACTCTGCTCACCAACTAGTTCTGACATATCCATGAAACACCACAGGTCGAGTATGTCCTAAAGTGAGGACCCGCTGTACAAACTTTTTTTCAGTGTTACTGGGTGACGCAGTGGTGGCTTAAAAAGAACTAGTTTTTGTTGCAATGAGTGTGTTATGTTACTTGGAACTATATTTTGGAACTGATATTTTTATGGTTCAAACTTCATAGTGTAGTGATCTGCCCTCAAAGGTTTGTTTTTAGCAGCGACTCTACGTCACAAACCAACAACACAACATGGCCACTGTCACTGACAGTACCTGGTGACAGTAGACCAGTAAATGATGGTGAATGGAACTGCATTTCTAAATGCATTCCCAGAAGTGTTCTTGACTAATACTACCAAAGGTCAAACTTAATTTAAATGAACTAACCTAGGATTAAAGGGACTACACTTCTCATTAGTCGGAACATCATCTGTAAATAGTGTCACTTTCTTTCTTGGCGTGTTACTCCACATCCCAAATCTCACATAGCAGTGGGGTGAATTTGTGGTCGTTCATTCTCCACGATGTGAGCATCTCTGCATGGTAATGGTTAAGTGTTCTGAGCTCTGTCAGGCGGCCGAGAAGGCGGGCGAAGTACTGCGGCTCATGTGGATGCTGCAGGGAGCACAGCTTTCGGAGCACATCCAGCATCGGCTCCTGAAGTCTCTCCACAGCCTGGTGGTCCCTCACGTAGGGCCTATCTGCAGAAGCACAGGGTTCAATAACAAGGCGTGTCACGCTATATGTGTCCCTGAGGTTTAAATATCAACTATCTGAGTAGATATCTTTTAGTAGTAAAGTAAGTGAACCTGAGGTACCTGGTGTCAGGATGGTTATGGCGGTGAGGAGAGCCTGTTCCTCCTGCATCATATGAAGTTCACCTATGCTCTTATAGAAATTGAACATGGGTGTCATAAATTCTTCGGATATACCTGCGGCAAAGAACAGAAAATATGAGATGGCCATATTAAATTGGGAAAAAATACAAAGTAATGACTTAGTACTCTGTTTTTAAAGGTGGATGTTAAATTAAGATTTTTAGTGACAGTATTTGGAAATGTAATGTGTCTAGTTCTTTTTTTTAAAATTTTCTTTTAAATAATTTCTTGTTACATTTCTTTTTCTCGCTGTGCTTAACCACACTTTAAAACACTCTAACGTGTCCTCAAATGAAAGATAGGAATAGCAGTTGGCCACCAGGGGGTAGCACTGCCAAGTGTGGGGAAAATGAGCTTTGTATTACTGGATTTACGGCGCCGTTGATGGGACTTCACCATTGTTATTATAGTAAATTATAGTTTGTTGTACAATAAATCAGTCAGTAGGTGGCAGCAACTGTAACTTAAGAAAAGCAGCATGGCTTTTAAAAACTAAAAAGACTAAATAATTACATAATAATACTTATAATACAACCCTAAATTGACCATGGTTATAAATGTGATGTCAAGTAAAAACATACTACTACCACTGGTCTTTTTAGTTCTTTTTTTTTTTGCCTTCACTTTTCAAAGCAGTCGGTTCATCTGAGCTTGGACACATCAACCAGCAGTCATAAATGTCATTGGGGCTCAGAGGGAGAGAAGAGGACAATAGCATTCTTGATGTATTGATAAGAGACAATAGTCTCTCCAGACAGCTCGGCTCTCTCATACTTCTAGACTGGCCTTTATTGGAAATATCTTCCATCCCTATTATTTACACCAGCGACGTCCCAAGGGACTCACCGATGCACACACACACACACACGCACACACATTCCTGCCGTCACTGCCACTGTCCTTCCAACTGTTCAGGCGGTTGACACAATGACACCTCGTATACATATACATGAATATTTTAAACGGCCTGCGACTCGATATGCATATGTGAGAAATTCCCATTCATAGCAGAGGTCTGTGTGTGTTATAAATAAAGAACTCCCACTTCAGTGGAAGACCTTATTTTTAGTGATGGCGAACAGGCCAAAAAAAGAGCGAAACCGTAGCCAGTGAGTGTGCGTGTCCACCTGTAACCTAAACCTAGCCAGTGATCAACAGGTCAGCACGCATCTTCCACCCGTATCACACAGATCATCTACATTAATTATTCAAGCAGGGACTGACCAGACCTGGCAGCCCGACTGCAAGTGTCATGACGCTACAGTTTTAGCTGCAACTGGAGCAAAGGGTGCGGAACTCCTAACAGTCACCAGAAGGGACACGATACACCGAGATGAAATGAATACTCAGACTTCGAAGCACACATCATTGCTGGACAACATTCGATTTTTTTTGTTTTGTTTTAGATACAATTTCAATTTAAGACGTGATACATTACTCTGCTCACCACTCTTGCGTATCCTTTCCTCTAAGACGTCTGTGTGTCCGCTCGGCCTCTTTCTGCTAAAAACCTGAGCTGAACGCAGGAACATGGCCTCCACGGCTGAGCCCTTCAGCAGAGCGATCTGATCTTCATGATTTAAAGACAGAAAACCTGATGGAGACGTAAAAGTTGAAAACGTTTGAATAATCAGTGATCCAGAGTCCAGGAACGGATGAATCCATTTTACATTGATTCCTATAGGGCAAAATTGTTTCAGTTTTCGAACTTCGAACGGCCAAGGTTCCATTTTTCAAAGAAAGGGTAGCAACCCTACTGATCATCAAAGGACCAAATACCTGAGGGAATTATTTTAAAAATCTCTTAGCTTAGTTTTAATGGCAGCGATTTCAATTTTTAATCTTAATATGATAATTAACTGCTTAAGCTACAGCTATTTGCCACTACAAGGACATTGACATTGATTTAGTTTCTCACAAACAAAACACGATTTCTACATAGATTTTACCACGGTGATAAACAGAGTAGAGACATTAGTGATTTAAGCATGTTTAAATTAAATATTTGTAGCTGGTTCACTGTGTATTTTGCAAGTGTTGTGTCTTTCTAACAGTAAAGTGTGCTGAATCCAGTGTAAAAACCCAAATACCTGGGATGTTTTTAGTAAACTCCACCAGAACTTGTACTTGATTAGTTGCCATTTCTGTTAGCAGGAGGAAGTTCTCCTCTGCGCTGTACTGGTCTTGTAGCTGTGGAAGAGAATAAAAGTTGACAAAAATGAGACAAGCGAAAAAAAAAAGATTCCTACCATCAGAAAAGGATTGTCAGAAGGTTACTGTACCAGTTTTTTGGCCATATCTTGAGGAATTTGATGCCTGTTATACGCATCTACGATGACCTGCATCAACGCCTGCTGCTCTTTGGTGATTTTCACTTTCTCCTGGATTTCAAACAGAAAACACTTTCAGTCATTTAGTGACAAATATACGAATGATTCACAGTTTATACAGGCCATTTGGCAGACTGTGTGGCTGACCTTTGACAGCTTGGTGGTTGAGGTGACCTGTTTGCTGTCAGTGAGGTCCCCCGCCTCCGTCTCATCCCCAGTAGACTGACCTGGGGAGGCCTTGCTGCTCTTCCTTAGCCGTTTAGACTTACACTGAATCTCTGTTAGCAGACCTTTAAGAAGAGACAGAACCTTACACATTAACCCTTCATTCTTGTAATTGTTCATTTTTGTCATCAGACGACTTTAGACAAACATTTGGAATCTTTACTCTGTTGATATTTTATTTCTTTCATGTCTCCTTGGGACCTAATAATGATATCCTCCCTAAAATGTTTTTAATTTTGCTCCAACAAGATTTTTTCAACAAATGACTGATTGACTGATTGATTTATTGATCCATCATTGATCGCTGGAGTTTCTTTGGATTCTCGCGTGTGCTCCCCTTGTCCAGAACAAGCAGCAATAAAGTAGGTCAAATAGATACTGTAAATTAAACAGGTGAGTGTGAATGTGATATCAGACATTCAATTAAAAAAAAAACTACCCTCGAACGCACCTGATTGAAACATTATAATTTGTCAAGCTCTGGCTTAGGCTACAGGTTCAGTCCTCACTGCAATATTTATCGCAGCATCACTGCACTATTGATGAGCAACAGGAGTGCAGTCTGTCCCTCTGGGCTTTTCAGCTGACAGCGTGTAATTGACCCAAAGACTAATATTCCTTTAAAGACCAAACATGTTCTCGCATTAACAATTCTGTGCTCCACGTTTAGAGTTAAAAGTATAATTTAAATGCTAACTCTCTTAAGAGTGGAAATCTTTTCCTGACTGAAACTAAAGTGCCTGTGGTTTCTTCTATTTTAAAAAGGTGAACTTCTTTATGTCCGCAAAGTGACATTCCACCCACAGTAACATTCAGCGGCCCATGTCAGAATGGAAAATGAAGGTTTTACCGCTGCATCCAGTCCTGACGCTCAACGACTGTGTGCGTCTGCGTGCTGCCCAGATTAAGTAGAAATGATTCACAACATATTTAATTCCCCGTCCTGTCTGTTGATCATGCACACGTCGCACTGCCGCTAGATACATTGGGTTACTTACATTCAGCGAGCATTCCCATCTCTCTGCATTTCCTCAGTCGACACTCCTGGCATTTCCTGCGCATGTACATGTCCATCTCACAGTTGCCACCACTTTTACATTTGTAGACAGCTTTCTTTGTTATACTCCGTCTGAAGAAACCTGAGCATGACGACATCAAAAACAAGTCAGTATACTAACATTCCAAGAAGATTATCTAATATTTATGACATCAATAAAATCATCATTTGTGTCCTGTCTGAAGATCCTATCACGGTCTCTGGGAACTTAAACTAAATAACTGTAGGAAACCAAATGTTTAGAATTTGGTTCAGAGAAAATAACACAGGTAACTTGACCGACCTGGACGATCAATAGCCATTAGATGGAGTTTAGAAATGTCAAAATTGTGTATTTTATACATCATTATATACACACATTATTAAACTGCTAATTATTGTACCATTGCATGAAATCAAGTGGGACAATATTACAGTAGATGTTGTTTGAATTATTTATACACTGGAATAAAAATGCTTTTCCTGTTCAATGCATTCCGTATTTTTTACATACACTAATACCCATACATCTTCCCCAATAATAATGACTCCAACTTCCCAGTTTCTATTTACCTCTGCTGCGGACAAGCACAAAGTGAAGGGAGTTAGCCCCGGAGCTAATGTTAGCTTCGGCTGTGTATTCCAACTACGGTCGGGGCTCCGAAGCAGAAAAGAGCTACGGTGTAACCAGACGTGTTAGAGGCACTGTTCGGAAAAAGGCTTTTATTTAATTAAAGTGGAAAGAAAAACCAAAACTTTCTGTGCAAATATCCCACGTTAAAAGTGGACACTTACATACAAGTGCAGCCTATATTTGTACAATTTATTTTCTTTTAAATTTAGTGGGTGGGGCTTATATTCAGGTGCGTTCAATAATCCGGAAATGACGGCAAATGTTTCAAATTAAACTGTGTTGGAGCAAAAAGTCAAACAACTAATACTCCAGGTTCTTTAATGGTCAGGTTATTAAATAACACGTTAAGCACAAATGGGTTGTCACTCATCAATTTTTGTTGAAGGTTAAAATAAAAATGTGACTGTGTAGGAAGGTGAATTCTCTGTGTGAAGACCAATGCAGGTAAACACTGATGAACGTACAGGTCTTCTGTCCTGGGGAAAATGATTTTAGAACTTTGTGCTAAGTCTATGCTGCCACAATGAACATACAGTAAACACATGGCCTCAGGACTTCTTCGGGAAATTCTTGAACACAGCTCAGCCCTGTACTGATAAAAAGCGGTAAATAAAGCCATCATTAATATCGTGTAGAAATGTCTTTAGGTTGTTTTGGTTTTGAGATGGAGTGAAAGACAGTAAAAATAATTTTGGTTGGTCAGATGAGTCACGGTTTGACCGATTGAGCGATCGTAGAGTAAAAAAATGTTGGGGTCGGCCGAGCCAGCTATTTCGTATTCCTTGAATATGTTATACGCATGTGTTATATATGTGCCATTAAGTGCTTTATTAAGAAAGTGGAGGAGAGACAGACAGAAAGAAAGAGACAGACATTCTGTCATACAACATCAAGCACAATGCGGCGCATGGACGTAACTGAGCTCAGGTTTTTCCTGCATTGTCCGACAGAAAGCTGAGAGGGAACCCAATCTGGAGCAGTAGCAGGTAGACCTGAGCCTATTTTCAGTCAAGTAGCAGTACAGGCCAGGGCTGCGCTCCAGGCTTTGTCCAACCTCACAGTGTGGAATTACACTCATATCCATTCAGCCCGCCTTTGGCATGAATCACAGTAAATCCACAGGGCCGTCACACATGGGAAGGAGTCAAGCTAAAGGCCGTGACCTCACAGTGGCCAAAATGGCACTAATGATATACACATTAATTGTCCACAACATTTTTTCTAACACCAAAGCATCCAGGCCATGTAGACAGAACCAATGGGTGTGTTTTGTTCCACTGAGCAGGCAAATGCACCTGTACCAAGACAGAGGGCCCAACCTCTGGGAAGTGGCTCCACTTGTGACCGCAAAAAGTTGGAATTAGCTTACATATTAACTAACATACACTTGGAAAGGGAGGGTATCATTAAAATATACACTTAACACAATGCAGCACAATGCTGTACAGTATTTGTGTATGAAACTAACTGGATTTACTATACTGCTATACAGAATTGATTACAGGTTGTGAAATTGTATCTAAAAATCAAATATATAAGAACATCCATAAGTGGTTCCTTATCTCTGACTTTTCAGTGAACGTGACTGTCCTTCTAAACTGGCCTGTATTTGGACTCTCTGCTCCATTGTTGTTTGGCTTTTTGCAATACTGGTGCAGGTCAATGATAACAGCCATCAACACATGGATATCAACACAAAGCTGTTTTCTGACATTTCTGACAGTTCTCTGCATTAGCAGAGAGTAAAACACTAAACCTGATTTAATACCACGTTCTGAAATGAGTCTGATTTAGAAATTCTAAATTTCTAAATCAGAATTTAGAAATCTTCTAAATCTTCTGATTTACTCACTTTGTGCGACATGCTGTAAACAGAGACACCATCACCTCAGCAATGACAGCCTGTCACACGATGGAGGCTATTGAATTGATGTTGGTATTGGCAGCTACTCCAAGTTGCAGCATTGTATCAGACCTTGAAAATGTTGTACTACTTGCTCCCAATAGGTTCAAATTACTGCTCATAAACATTATTAAATAAGGACAAACTGAAACGTTGTGAGTGTAAGATCTGACCTTTACATCCCTCACAGGTGAGAGCATTGTAGTGGTATCCTGAGGCCTTGTCTCCACACACAACACACAGTTCCTCCCCTTTCACCCTGCCGGCCTGTGACATGTTCCGGCTCCTCCTGCACACGATGGGCACCACTGGCGGGGCTTGGTCCATCTCAACATCATAGCTGACCTCCAGTGGTCCTTTCCTCAGTTCATATATCCCTGCGTTTGAGTACCACTCATCTCCATTGTACTGAGAGTAATAGTTTTGGCTGGAGTAGTAAGGTGTGGAGGACAGCGCTGGCTCCATGGCTGGGTACTGCATGCTGCCACTGTAGCTGGTGTTGAATGGTAAGACATCTGGATCGTGGAGCAGAGGACTGCCGTGGTCTGCCAGAATATCTACAAGGAGCAGACAGTGGTGAAGTAGTGTTTGAACAAATAAGACAGCGGTAGCTCGATGGCTTAAAAATCATCAAATACCCCGGGCTAAATAAAATTGATGAACATGAATGTGCTGCCACTAATAATCATTATTATAATGATATTTTAATGATTAGAAGTGGCCAGCGATGGAAATGTTGCCTGACCACAACCCAAACAGACCTGAACAATGTGCAGCACCGGTTCCCGGACCGGGGGTTGGGGACGCCTGTTTTATGTGACCAATCGGTTATCATGTTTTGCCACTGTTGTCCTGTCCTAATATATACATTCATATTAATCAGTGTTGATCATGTGATATAATCTGAGCCATAATGTTAAGAATAGTTTTTGCAAATTTATAATTAAAAAGTGGCTTCAGGGTTGTTTATTTTTCATTTTCATTACCATCACAACAACACAATACCTACAAAATTCTAACGTGAAACAACATTATTTTATGTTAGCTGACATACTTCTTTAGTGCTGTCAATACACAAATGAAAATAATGACAACATTTATAAATGTTAGCAAAGTGGACCTGCCAAAACCATCGTGAAAATGTTATCAAAAACCTTGAAATAAACCAGTGAATGACCCTGTGTAAAGATTATATCACACTTTCCAAGGACAGGATTGAATTGTCGCACACACACAGAGACGTGTAGATTAAATATTAAAAGCTGGAATGAACCAAGCGTAGTGAGGAAGCCTCACCTATTGTGGTGTGTATCACTCGCTGATAATCGCTATTGCATCGCTACTGGTCAGACCAGTAGCGATGTCCCCAAGGGGTGGAATGACAGAAAATAATTGCGAACTACTACTTTAAGACAAGAACAACCATTAGGTACCAAATATTGATAATAATCAGATTTACTGACATTTATTTCAAGGATTTTTATCATTGGTTAAAATTGTGTGTGCAGCAAAAAAAAAAACAACAACCATGAGAAGCAGAATCGACAGAAGCCTGTGAGAGCAGCAAGAATCTCAGCAGTACTCCAAAATGCACATACTATAAAGTTACAAATGATTAACTGTTTGCTTGCACAGAGTACACTGTGTCTTTTGAAGCAACATCATGTAACTCAATTCCAAACAAGTTACTTCTGAAACTGATATAGAATGTCAACAACAACCTGTCCATGTGTCAGGTGCGGAATATTCATCACAGCTGCCTCTACAGCAGAAGGAAGAAACGTATCCCAGAATTCCCACGTACAGGATTCTGATATTTGAACAAATAAACAAAAAACTAACACTTTTAACAATTCCGGTTTTCCTCCAATTCCTTTTAACTGTGAGTTAAACTGACCTCTTGATGACTTGGTCTGGACCATGGCCATCTCAGTGTGACCACACACAATATTCGTCACTATCTAAATACTCCCAAGAGAACACTCCTAAGTCCGTGGTGTTGCTCACTTCTTCCTTCTTGTCCGACTACATATCCCACGTTCCATTACAGGTTCAGTGTATGTTTATTTGAATATCCTAAAGACTTCTTAAGACGAGAGGAGAGCAGGTGAAAACCAAGTTTCTTGTGTTTGCTCGAGACCTCCTATGGGAAGCAAAGGTCAGGACAGCTACTCATTAACCACATCTGTACATAATTATAGGTAGCTGGCTAGTGGTACAGTCACAGCTACTGCTGTTTGGCTTGGTTGGGTTGGGTCAAGGCTTTTTGTAAGAGCGTCAGCAGAACGCAATCAATATTCCCTGCGTTCTTTGGTGTGGTTGTTCCCTAAAAAACCACAGCGTGAGTAATACCTTATAACCGATGAATAAAAGTGAACAATTGTATTCTAATGTGCCACACAGATCAAGGCCATTACTGTTTAAAGTAAAGTAAAGTATTGGAAGCTGAATTAATCCTGCAGGCTCAATGCCTCCAACCACCGTTGTAATCCAGCAGTGGTTGGATTACAATCCTGTAATCCAACTATATTCTTATTTTCTCAGTAGGTGATTTCCAGTCTTGAAACTTAAAATATGTGACTTTTTTATTTTTCAAGTGGTTTAAGGCCTATTAAATTATGATAATAATTTAGCATTATGATCATAATTTCATAGATTAGGCGAGAGCAAACTAAGGCCCGGGGTCCAGATGCGGCCCGTTCAGCTTTTTAATCCACCCGACAAACATTTCCAAATTAATAACATATTTATATTATCATTATACTTCTGCCTTTTCCCTGCAATACACACGCTTCCCCAATAGATGGCATAGAAAATTATAAAAGCGTTTTAGCCTTTAGGCATGTAATTTATCTATCTGCTCCTGACCCGCCCCCTAACCCCACCCAATATTAGGACCCCTTGTTGGGTTGGGTCAAGGCTTTTTGTAAGAGCGTCAGCAGAACGCAATCAATATTCCCTGCGTTCTTTGGTGTGGTTGTTCCCTAAAAAACCACAACGTGAGTAATACCTTATAACCGATGAATAAAAGTGAACAATTGTATTCTAATGTGCCACACAGATCAAGGCCATTACTGTTTAAAGTAAAGTAAAGTATTGGAAGCTGAATTAATCCTGCAGGCTTTGTCAGTTTCTGAATCTGGCCAAAAATTCAAACTCGAGGCTACACATAAAAACTATAAGGTTTTAGTCAAGTGGCATTTTTAATTACAAAAAGTGGTCAAATATATTTGACACTGAAGCAAGAGCCGGATCGTGGTACACATTTACTGCAGGTGCAGTATGCTAAGCTAATTAGCATTGCCATGTATGTCTGTGTGAGCTGGCTTCTGCCGGAAAGACTTACCAAAAAAATGGGCGCTCTCTGCGATGGAGAACTCATCGCTAGGTGGGATCTGCAGTGGTCCCACCACATTGATGTCGGGGCCCACCCACTCATTCATTCAGAACGGACGTCAGGCACCAACTCAGGGTAAAACGCTAAGTACACCGTGCCACAAAGTGGTGGTGACCCTCTTTTTAGCTCCTGTGTGACAGACAAAACAGTCGTGTTGGACTGAACTGCAGATCCACTCATACCTGAACCACAAAGTTATTAATTTAACGTCAGCACGTGAGTCACTGCATCAGCACAGCGCACAAGGTGGAACCTGGTCCACAACCACATCAGTGCCACGATGAACACCAGTAAAGACATTTCTAAAACATCCATTCAAAGCAGATTGTTGACATTTTTAAAATCATATTTTATTAATATTATTATAATTATTATTTATTATGTCCCATTTATGCAATTAAAAGGTTGGTTTCCTTGGTACAGAAAAAGGACCAACGGCGATCTACTACGGTATTCGTGCCTGTCATACTTCTGTAATGTCATAAATCAACAGCCCCTAACATTTTCCAGGCCTTTTTCCAACATTTTAACTAAGATGATGTTTTTTGTTCTAAGGTTCCTATAGATGTACTTTGTTACTTTACATTTACTTTACTTTTTAATGATTTTGAAATAATACACACTGGTTTATAAATCTATGGCTTCATGTTTGTATCAAATCTAAAATTGTAAAAATATAAAATATTGTTTGATCAAACCAAAGTTGTACAGGTCTGCATCTCCCTGTATTTCCCTGGAAGTCTGCGCTAATTGAAAGGATAGAAATATTTTGGGGGGGAAATTATTTTTTCAAATAGCCATGTATTTTGTCAATACATGAAAGACTGGGTTCACTCATTAAAACCAGCAACACTGTCGATAAAAAATCAAATACCATATATATTATACATTGTATATCATCATATAAAGATACACCATGTTGTGCAACGTGGGAAGTAACTTTTAGGAAACGAGTTAGGCCGTCAGCTGCCTCCTCAACAGAAGCTGGACTTGAATATTGTTGGAATTTTGGAAACGTCAAGGACAAACAGTTTCTAAGGATTATCTGAACAAAAATTTCAAACTGCTTTTGAATGAGAATACTGAATAAGAGAAACAACAACAATAATCAATAAATAATAAAGAATAACAATAATAATGTATTAATCTATTATTATTATTATCATCATCATCATTATTATTATACATTATTATCATTATTACTAGATTTTAAGAATGAATACCCCGAGTCCCCATTTGACAAACTTTGATGGAGTTCCCTTACCCACATTTTTTAATAATTAGCGCAACATAATTTCCCTTGAGATTAAAAGATCAGCCCACGTGCACACTTTGTCCTTTAGCCCACACTTTAGTCAAACTCAGCTCCGTATACCTGACAGACAACAACACATTTGTTGATACATACAAGATGACATTAAGTTAACAACAGGAAGTTTACCAATCCTCGGTCTCACAGCTCTTACTTTGTCCTGGTGTTTATATTTGATGTCCCTTGGTGGTAGTAGTCTCCTCAGCTGGGGTTGGTCCACACTACAGCTCCCTCAGCAGCAGCTAATGTGCTTTTAATCGGGTTTTTTCCTCTGTCTGCAGTCCTCTACGAGCTTGTGTGACCAGTTGAGGTCAGGCAGTTATTAATTAAGCTGTCCATTCCTGTGCTCGTCAGCCCCCGCTCCATCCTTCCACCACTGTCCTTAACACTGTATAAAAACTCTCTTTATCATAACAAGGCCAAAAGAGAGAACATGTCTTCTCAAATCCTATGCTACAGTCATAAATCCCACCCACACTTCCACACATGTAGCACACAGTAGGTCCAGTCCCGGGTATGACACAAACATCTGGTATGAATCTGAGGAGGCCGCTGCTATCAGTCCAAAGTCCAAGAGTATATATTTTTTTTCTTTGAATAAAAACAACCATGTGATATTGTTAAATGATTCTAGAGTATATCAAACAGAAAATATGCCAAAGTGTGTGTCTGTGTGAGTGGCAACCGCTGTCATCTGTCCTTGAAATGCTCAAAAACCATTCGCTCTCTTTGCTAAATTGTGTGAAATCAGTTCAAACCAGTTTTGTCTGTGAACAGTGAACTCCTGACGACAGCGGTGCACCTGATCACTGGCTTTGTTTACTTTATCTCACATATTTATCTCACGTATAAAAAAGTTCTTACCATACCTTTAATCCTTGATTCTACCCCCCGTCCCCACCGCCCAAAAATAATAGATTAATCATTGATGGGCTGTTGCTCCATCTGAAGGCCCTTCTGAGTCAACAGAAGTCTCTGTGAAATAAACAGAACCTTTGTAATTAGCTGTTTGTTGACCGTGGGTTCTCTCTTTGGCAGCATTCTACAAAGAAAATTCTGATATTAAAATTAAATTTAAAACAATGTTTTTACAGTTACTGCGATTTTGATTTAAAACAATGTTTTTACAGTTACTGTTGCCAGTTGCTGCTAGTTTGTTGGGTTTTTTTACAAACCTTTTACTGTAGTTTTTAATGAAAGTGTAGTGTGACACAGAAAGACAGAAGTTCATTTGTGTCCACATGCTAAGAGTTGTTATCACTGACAGTGGTTTGGAGAAATTGACTTTGACACTGATGGTGAAAAATATTTAGTCCAGTAATTAGCTTCTGTGCTGAGGATGAAGTGGGGGGAGGGGACGTGGGAGTGCGGGGGGGGAGATAAGACAGAGGATGTTTACCATAGAGTAACAAGAAGCAGAAGCAGTTTTTGGATTTTTTTTTTATTTTTTGTAAATCTCTAATTTAAACAGCCGCTAACAAAAACAGGACGTGTTTATGGACAGCTTACACTTTCAGAAGATAACCAACGAGTCGACTGAGCTGCATTCAGCATCTCAGTGACGGCGTTTTGTAAATAATTCAAGAGCAGAAACTAAACTGTGGGGCGGGAGGACTAAGAAAAACAAATTAACAAAAGGGTTCTTAAATATTTATTTTCTCCATGCTTTAATTATTTCCACATGACTGGATGTAAACAAGATTTGAAAAGACAAAGTCCTATTTTTTTACTGCAGTATCCAGTAATAATAATTACTGGATATTGCAGTAAATGTAGTGTAGTTAATAATTTAAAATAAAAACCAGTAAACACAGCTTGGTAAACTATTGTTTTACAGGTGGACCGTGAGAGCACCCAGCTGAGGGCCAGTACTTCATTTAAGTGGGCTGGATCCTGTATGAGAGTCCATATTTTTGGGGTCCTTAAAGGGGGGGTACATAGAGGCCTTGTGCTGGGGACGTTAGTGGACTTCTGTGTTTGTCATTGACTGTCAATAACGAACACTAGACCATAGTTCAATGATCAGCTTGGTAGAGAAGTGGAGTAAGTCAGGCCTGGGAGACAAAGAAAATACAGTGAGGGTCTAAAAGTCGTGTCAGAAGGAGACCCTGTCGGGAGGAGCTTCAACTCCCACCTTCAACCACCTTCCCACTGGTGGTACATGTCCTGTGCCTGTTTGGAAGGCGACTTCGCTGTAAGGTGCAGTAGCTGTAATGTGGTGTAGCACATTACATAACACGTACGAAACCCAGACATTGCATTATTGGGTTTTCATTATCGGAGGAAAAATGCTAACGGTTCCTAGCGATATTCCATAATTATGCTATCAATTGATAATCTCAATATTACCGGACATCCTTAATTTTAAGTGGTGCTTCATTACAAGAACTAAACAAACTGTAGTTAGTAAATATTCAATAATATTTTTAATACACAAAATAAGACAATAAATAATCTCTTTTATCTCACACAACAACCCAGGACCTCGACAATTTTCAAGGCTTTCAAAAGCATTTGATCACATCCAGGTGCTCTGTCACACAACACCATTAACTGTGCAAATACAGTACACCACTCACTTTACTGTCCTTCACATGAACTGTATAGATTTCCAGAACTGTAGATCAGGAGGAAACAAACCTTGTTTTCATTTCATTTTTTTGAAACCAGCTGCATGTCTGTATCAAGTTGCACCAATAGAAAGAAAAAAAACAAAAAGTCATGTCAGCATTAAACTGCACCATCCACAATGGCCCACTATGAGGACTATAGATAATAGAGGAGACAAAAGATGTGGCTGACGAACGATGAACTGAGATCTACGCAGACGTCACAGTGTACAGTAATCATTCAGCAGCACAAATACAAACAAGCACAAAAAAACCAACCAGTAAGGCTCATCACACTAACACTGTGGCCCGCTGTCAAACCCGCTAACATTTAGATTGCATAGCTCACATCGATACATTTAAAATAATCCCTAGGTTTTTAAAATCTGCCCAAAAAACGTGCAGTTGAAAACTCATTTGCACAGATGTCCTCTGGTCAGTGAAGCTGATCTGTCCGTTCTGGTTCTATGGTTTCTATCATTATTAGAATCTACAGTGAAGGATAGTGTGAACGGAATTTATTGTTCTAACTATGGGCAAACGATATTAGCTTTTTGCCGTTACCCGATATGCTGATATTTTCCGAATACATCATTTCCGATCAGATACCTATACATTCAACCGTTTTTCCCCAAAGATATTTTTAGGTCACATCACGTGGTTGTGGTCTTAATACATTACTATCTTTTATTGCGATGCCCCGCTAAAGGCATTCCAAAAAATAATTAAATATATAACAAAATAATTGGGCTATTGGGTTTTAATTATTGAAGGAAAAACCGATAACGATTCTTATCGATATGACATAATTATGCTAATATCAGCTGATGATATCGGTCGGTCGATATTATCGGAAATCTCTAGTTCTAACTGTGTTAGCAACCCGCTGCCTTTTTTGTTCCTCCTGAGGAACATTGTTAAGATGCTACATACTATGGTATGGAACACAGACCTCGACTGGAGATAATTATTTTAATAAGTACGTTTTGTTTCTGTATTTATTACTTTTCCTATCTGTATATTTGCCAACGTCAGCCATTTTTAAGAGTAGCAGGAGTAGAGTAGGACTGAAACTCTCCTACATTATCCTCTCATTCACACTGGCTTCCTACTCATTTCACTTTTCAATATAAAATTCTTGATTGATCGTAGGTTAAAAAGCTTGGACCAGACTCCTGACCTGGGCTTTAGGCCACGTCCCATGGCAGCCTTGCTTCCAGAGTTAGCGCTCCAATGCTTGGTAACACGTTTCCTCCAGATTGAATTTTTGTGTTCTGTTTAATTTGTTATATCTATTTTGCCGTTCTGTTTTTTTGTCCCTAAAATGTGACATATAAACAAACTTGTTTTGAATATAATTTTTCGCAGACACACTATTTAGCAACAAAGCCGTTCTTCGGATGCTTGACTTTGTTGTTCCTCCTGATACTTTTATGTTTCCAATGTTTTGGTTAAATTCTAGAATTAGGCTCGGGGGTGTCCAGTCTCACTGGTACTGGTCCTGAAAGTCTCCATTCCCATAATGTTCCTCTCCATCTTGCATGGTGACGCCTCTCTTTTTCTTCCAGCCATGTTTTCGACCAGATGGATTCTCGGTCGTTCCGTAACTCTTTTTAGGGTTCACCATGTTTTCACTGGTGAGCTCCGACTCTTCCGCAAGTTCGTCCTCATCGATGATGCCACATTTCTCCTCGCTGGTGTTTTCGGGTTCGGCCCATATCTGCTGCTCTCCCGAGGCAAAGATAGCGTAGAAGATGACCCCTGTGTAATGCACCATGGAGGCGATGACAAAGACGTTTTGCCACTCCAGACGGGTCTGTGCAGATTAAGGTTCATGATTTTTTTGTTACGATTCATAACTGAAGAATAAATGCTAAAAAAAACAGCTGCATCATCTTTAGCACTAATGCAAATATTATTGTTATTGTGACCAGTTCATATACCTTGTGTTTAGTCAAAGCTCCAACAATCAGGGGACACACCATTCCAGACAGTGTTCCTACCCCATTAGAAATGCCCATCAGGATGCTAGCATAGCGGGGAGCGATGTCTAGATGATTAACGTTAAAACCTAAACAAAGACATGTTTTTAGACAAAGAGTACTGTGTGTGTTGAACTTTGTACAGGCTCATGTGAGAGTGAAGACACCTCATGTAGAGGTGACTGTACCTGAGATGGCAAATCCACTGAAGCCCACAGCCAGAACTAGGAAGGAGATGGCCACTCCTCGAGTGTGAGAGAAGCCGACCACAAGCAGCAGAGTAGCCTCCATCCCAAAACCTGCAGCGATGAGCAGCATTAGCTGTGTGCATGATTGCAGTATTTAAAATATTTTAATGCTAATATGAATTCATTACTATTACCAATGGCTTAAGTCATTGAGTAATATTTAAATAATTATTCTAGACATTGTTTTTTTCACTGTTGTTTGTTTTGGGTTTTTTTTACCAACGTACCTCCACAGTTCATGAGTTTTCTCACATTAGTGGTTGACATTATTTTGTTAGTGCGTAAGAAGTCAGCCAGCTGACCCCCAATAGGAACTACAATTGTCATCACCATGTGGGGGACAGCAGACAGGATCCCCACCTATTGAGGTCAAAGATTTAATTTAAAAAAAATCAAAAAATCAGATTTAGTTTGACCATTTACGACGTGAGCTGCCTGCTTGTGAACTGAAAGACTGAAAGACTGACCCTGCTGATGGGAAATCCAAAGACTTCCTCAAAATACGCCGGCTGGCTGATGAGGAGCAGGTAGAAAGTCCAGCTGCGGCAGAAGTTAGCTACGATGATGGCATAGACGGGCATGGAGGTGAAGAAACAACGCCACGGGGTGTTGAATTTCTGTGGTTGGAAGACAAAAGTCAGTGTAAGACACATCTGTCCAAGGTCCAGGCATTTACATGACTTACAATAATGGGGGGTGACAAAGTCAACTGCTTAAAACAAGAACACACAGTGTTGTAGAGTGGGAACACACTAAGAAAGGGATCTGATGTATATGGTTGAGTTGGATCCAGCACTTTGACGTAGTCTTTGATTCAGTGACATGGTAAGATCTGTGTAACTCTAACCATGCGTATACCAGTACTGTTAAAACATTGAACAACCTAGAAAAAGTACCATGGCATATTCAGTATGGTGGCGCTTTGGCCCAGAGGCAATGTCTCTGTCATTGGTGTGGAACCCCAGGGTTCACCTCCTGGACAAGTTCGAATCCCGGTTAGGGCAGTTGGTACCTTCCAGTGGACTCACCACCCGCAGGAAGGTTTGGGGGGTTGGTATGGTGCAATGTGATTTGGGTGGTGACTGCTGTCCCCGCGACCCGGTAACGGATAAGCGGATGAAAATGGATGGATGGATGGATATTCAGTATGCCAAACAATTTCGGATTCCGAAATCAACCGATACCGATATAGCGAGGCAGTGGTAACCTGGTGGTTAAGGAAGTTAAGTGCCGCCTGCTCACTAAGGTGATGGGACAAATGTTTTTCACACACACCGCACTCGCCTACCCCTCCCACAAATTGAAACACTTTTGAGCGCCTGGTAATGATTTATTTTATTTTATATTTATTTTAGCTGCATTGCTGCCATCTAGTGACTAGAGGCTTGTTAATCATTGATAATGTTGTGATGTGTTATAAAGGAGTCAACAGTTATGGGTATGGGAGAGGGAGTGAGGACGAGTGGTGAGAGTGTGTGTGTAGGAGGCAGAGGGAGTGTGAGAGGAGGAAAAGGCGTTTAGAACGAATTACCACAATTGTGTTTCAATGAACGTTCTTCAGAGCACTGAGGCCTCTGACTGGTCTGTGGGCATTTTGCAAAACACAGTTTTCAGGTTTTCATTATCGAAAAAAAAATTCCACCGATATTATCGGAAATCCCTGATTATATTGCAGTGTTTTGGATGTGAGACATTTCCCTCACAGTAAACAATGGAGTCAATTCTTCCTCCTTCTCCCCCCAGTGGGAAATAAAGGTACAGGCAATTTTAACTTCTCTTTTTGTGACTTCTTGGTCATAATGCTGTCTGAGTACTGCTGTTTCTAGAGCTAGGCAACAGTAGAAAATCGTCAATACCTCAAAATGTTTCGACTCTAGTATCATGGTTCATAAAATTAAACAAACTAAATTAAATGAGTTATAGGGAAAAACTATTTGTCATTAATATCCACAAACCTCAGTCGCACTCATCTGTCGCATGCTTTCACCAATTGCCTTCTCAATGTACTGTCTCTCCTCCTGTGTAATCGTGGGATGGTCTGCAGGACTCCCATAGGCCAACAGGAGCCACATAATGTACCAGAAGATTCCAAAGACACCTGTTAGTGACATCACAGTGTTAATGCAGCATGAAGTGTCTGTACATGTGATGTTCATCTCAGTGTCGAGTGTTACTGTGTAGCTCAAGGATGAGCTGCACTGACAGGTATAAAATGATCGCAGACTCCTTGTAAATTATTAAAAAGAAAATCAGTCAGTTATGAGTCACTGAGCCCCGAGACCGGAAAATGCTAATTCACATCAATAAATCAAACGATCATATCAAAGCCGAAATCTGAGCACATTTTTATTAAAACACCTTTGGCTAGGTATGAATCATATGTTTGTGATAATCAGTTTAATCAAACGACGAACCAGAAAACGCTTGTTGTGTGGAGCACACAGAGACACGATATCACGCCATTTTTTGACCAACAAATCAAGTTGATTTATATGAATTTTAATGTAAACATTTTTAACCTTTTACAATTTATTAAAAGCTTTTCTTGTATTTTTTGACTAGCAAACTATCTTTTGTTCATGCTCAATTTTATTATGATATTTTCCAGGGATGTCTGAAAAATATCAAAACCTGCCCACAAGGAGGTTCAATCCGGCCCGCTTGATACATTTTGAAAGCAAAATAGCACGAACACTTCATGTTCATGATGTTTTGTTAAAATTATATTTCATTAAATATGAAGACTTTCTAATATATTTGTATATTTCCTTGTATGAAATCAGGGGGGAAACATGGACATTGGGCTTATTAGATGTTTTTTTTTTCAGATCTTACAATAAAGACCTTGGTTTTTTTTTTATTTGAAGAAAAGAGGATTAAACCAGTGTGTTGTTTAATTTTTTTAACGTGTGATCTCCTTACCGTATATATAAAAGACTGAAGGCCAGCCAACGTACTGAACAAGAACACCAGCTAAAGGCATGGCAATCACTGCCCCTGCGTAGGATCCTGTTCACAAAGACAGTAAAGTTGATGAAGAAGAAGAAGAATAGTTTGAATAACTCACATCAACTGTTTTGAATTGAACCTATATTGTACCAGGTGAAATATATATAAGATAGTTGGATATCAGATAGTTGATAGTTAGAGAGTCGGAGTAGAAGATGCAGAGATCAGGGCAATATGGTCATCATACCCCTAAAAAAAGGGACCAAGCCGAAAGAAGAAAAAAAGCACACACACACACACAATATCAGCGTTTCTTTCCGCTTCATCTTCCCTCTCACCAATATCAGCGTTTCTAACTCATTAATGATATCTTTCCGCTTCATCTTCCCTCTCACCACAGAATGAAGTGGTTGCTAGTCTGCTCCGTTCAAGAGGTGGTGCCCATTTGGACCACATCCCATGGCATGCTGGGTATGTAACACCCTGAAATGACATCAAGACTTTTTGCAGTTCCAAAAGAAATCAGGTTAGGTAGATAAAGTAGACCTTCCTACAAAACCCAGCACTCACCTCCACCAGACCCTGCAGGATGCGAACGAACAGGACACAGCCGTAGTGAACTCTGGCGGCAGATGGAATGAACATGTTCAGTACTGACGTCAGGAAAATGGCTGCACCAAACACCCTGTGAACAAGAAGTGGAGAATTTTTAGTTTTCAGTTCAGGAATTAGGATCAGACACAATGAGATGTGAACAAATTCAGGGGTTAACCAGCTCCTCAGCCATGTGTTACCAGCTGCTCTTTTACACATTTTTAGAGTTGGGAACAGAACCAGAACTAACGCTAAGCCCACATTACATGGACACAGGACCCGCATTTAAACATTTTTAGAACACAGACTCACAGTCTTGATCTTACAGGATTATATATATATGTCATTATTATAGTATTTATTTTATTATCTATTTTTACCGCAAGAAAAAAATCAAAGCATTAATATTTAAAATAAAGGAACAACAAATGAATAACATTTGTACCATAAGAGTGTTTTCTCTACAAAACAGAAAAATAATTTAAATTGTGTTTTCATCCAGTCTGTCGCAGTCATAAACACAGCAAACACACACACACCTGATTGGGGAGATACTGATAGATGTGTCATATTGGGGGGAGGCGGGTGTTGTTTTTTTCTGTCAGAGCATCTTACTCAGTCCGCCTCATTATCACAGAGAAGTCGCAACTCTCAAAGATAAAGACGTCCCTTTCTAGCCACAAGTTTTCCTCTCTTTCCTTCCTTGGCCACCTCCCCAACCCCCTTCCTCCCCGTTTTCCAAAACAGTGTGTAAGTGACACTTGTAATATACCAGGAGCTGGTGTCGTGGAGAGAAATCAGTGGTAGGATCTTTCATTATTAACTCTGTCAGTGGCGTGTCCTTCTTTTCCTGCGAAGCTTTTATTACAGGAGTGCTATCAGCTCCATCAGGCCCGCTCACCACGCCGCTCTCCGGCTTTAACCCTTTAAATGCATTGTCTGAGGAACTATCTCCTCGACGCCTATCTGCCTTTTACCACCTTTTACCACCTTCACGTCCAGGACTATGTGGGGACGGCTGAATGGGTTTAATGGGGTCAGTAAAAGGACACGATCACTGTTTGAAAATTGCCAAACTGTCAACGGTTTTTGAATAGAGGCTCATGGGAAACGTGGCTTTGTGCAGAAATAAAGTCTATTTAGGAATTCGAAATAATCATTCAGATCTGTCAGAAATTCAGCTCTCTAGAAGCAAAGAAAACAGAGGTATACATTCTCCTTTGTTCCATTAGCAGTTAATAAAATAATTAAGTCAAGTTTTGGGATTTTTTACTTATTTGTTTCTTTAAATTGAATTTACCTGACTTCAACAACACTATCTAACCATGAATGACCCACGTCTTTTAGAAGAACTTTAACCATTTTTCTAAAGTATTTTAACTGTCATTCCGAAATATTGTTTAATTCCCTGATATTTGTTCCTGTGTATTTGTTTTTTGTTTCATGGCTGAGATTCTGAGCTGCAATAAGAATACGGATCAAATCACTGTGTCATTAAAGTGCATGTGACCTGTTGGCAGAGAGCTTGTTGGAGATGAAACCACCAGGGATTTGAGTGACAATGTAGCCCCAGAAGAACGAGCCGTGAATTAATCCTACCGTCTCTGGGTCCCAGTTAAACTGAGCTTTCTGGAAAAAAAAAGAGAATAACAGAGGAGAGAAGTCAATGCTCGCAGACTGAACTTAGGCATGTCCGATAATATCGGCCCGATGTTAGCATATTATGTAATTTCTGTAAGAATCGTTCGAGAATTTACACACACAAAACAGTTACACAATTGTTTTTTCCTACGATAATGAAAACCCGATTACGCAATTCCTGGGTTTTGCCCATTGATGTGTGCCCTAAAAATAGTTTTGGGGATAAACGGCTGGATATTATGTGAAAGTCACTAGAGGGCAGCATTGCAGCTCATGTAATTAATCTTATACTCTACAGTGGTTTGTACAGATAAATAAATAAATAAATATTACTAGGCCCATATCGGCATCGGTTGATATCAGAATCAGAAATTAGGTGTATGAACTATGTCTGCATATGAGATATCAGCAAAAATATGTGTCTGTGATGCCAGAATGTTCTCGTACACCACACATTCTTCAAAATTCACACAGCGCCTCATGCTACAGGCTAGTGAGAAAACACTGGGATCATCCACTCCTGGTACCTGGATCACTGGGGTCCCATTTATGTAGACGGTGTTGTTGTTCACCATTTCCACAATGGCCACACCTAGGTTACAGCGAATGCCGAAAGAGATGCAGAAGCCCAGGCCGCTAAGAATGGCGATGATGTAACGTTTCGGGAGGCCGCCACAGCTGCAGTCCAGCAGCGGGGGAGATCGATTTGATGATGCCACAGGTTGCCCATCCTCGGTCAACTCAATGTGGTCTTCTTCATCTACGTTGGTACCATCTATTTTCCTATAGAGGGTAAAGAACAGAGTGGGATTTATCATCTTTACTTTTTTACTCCCTGCACTGCCAATAACAGAGATAACACATTAATAAAAAAGACTCTGAAATCGATTCAATTTTACTGTTTAAATGTATTATCTATTTCCATAGATAATATATCAATATAATGAAAAATATAATGTAAAATGTTTTTTTTATTTTGCTTTTAGTCATCATTGAATTGTTTGACCCTTTTTTGTTTTTGACGTTTTTGATATATGGTTGTTTTGATTGTTATCAGAAAAAGGCAACTGTGATGTCGGCTGTCATCACAGTTCAACAACAGCTACAAACACCACAGTATCTCTGAGCTACATGTCAGTATCGGTGCATGTAATTACAAGCAAATTTATTTTGCCGGCATAGGCTGATGATTTTTTTTCCCACTTTAAACTAAATATACTGAATATATATCTTTCTCTCGCTCTCTCTCTGAGAGAGAAAAAATTAATTTTATTTCATATGTCATCTGGTATTCTTTAAGAAATGCATTGCTTCAACATACATTTTTACCAGGTGCTAAAAAAATTGTTAAAATAATGAATAAAATTAATTAAAATTTGTAATTAAATGTGTTTTATTTAACATTTATTAGAATGTTTGGTAGAAAATATTCTGTTTTGTAATGTGAACAAATTTTTGCGTCATGCATTTTCTATGAAAGTCTCCTGCACACACAAATGTTTTCATATAAAATGTGCGCCAGATATGAAAGATGTGATCACCTGACAAGTACAAGAACCAAATATGTATCTAATGAATGTTAAACTCACAGGCTAATTTCTGTATGGCTACACATAGAAATGAGTCTGTGTTGTGTTCAACCACCACCCCTCACCTTACTTCTATATATGTAATATAAGGACAATGCATGAAGTCCAACACTAGTAATAAAACATTTTCAAGAAAGTAATGAAAACATACAGACGACACAGTTCTCATGCATCCTTGTCCCACATTTCAATGAAAGCAGCGCACCTTTGCAGTTTTCCTAGAGAATCACCCATGGTGTTCTTCACTTCCTCCTTTCCAGTCTTGGACAGCACTTTATCCTTCAAACCTCCTAAACCACCAAACGGCATGTTTCCCTCCTTTCTGGTTGAATTGTCTATGACACCTCACTTTAGCTCTGAGTTTGGATCAAAGACAAATATGCACTAAACGCTCGTTTTCATCCTCCCAGAGTATGTGGCACCAGTGGCTCGCTCAGCAGTGCCAAAGTTCCTATAGCTGCATCAGTGGCTTTCTCCAGCCTTGGGAATGATTCAGTGGAGATGGCAAAGTATTCCTCTGTTTGGAACAACCGTGCAGCCACAACTACTAAAATGGGTCTCCAAATTTGAAAAAGATCCATCCACTGGAGATGAACAAGCAAGATTACGACTTTAAAGTACAGTATCCAGTTACTCATTTGTAACCATGGTGTCCCCCGGTCTGCAACTGAACTGAATGGACCACTCACATCTCCTCTTCATCTCATAACTCATCCAGCACTGGTGAGGAGGGGCAGGTGTAAATGCTTTTTCTAAAAACCCAGCCCCTCACTTAACGCATCATCATCTTGAACGTCATCATCCTCCTCTTCAGCAGCTTTTCTAGCACCACCCCTTCTTCACCTGCCTGGGTTCATCCGATACCAGTCCAGTGGACAAACAATCAAATTTGCATGAGCTCGCCAAGTTGCTTTGCTAAAACCCTACAGGGCTCAGTCAGCTGTAGAGAAAAAAAATCCAACAGGTAACATAAGACTTTTTAGGCCCAGTTTTTCCCTTTTCCCCCTGTCTGTTTAGCCTTTTCTAACTGGACTTTTTATTTTTATTTAATTTATTTAATGTTTTGGGTTTTTGTTTTTTTGCAATTTGCATTAGTTGCAGACCTTGTAGACACTGCAATTAAGCTTAATGCGTCGTATATACACTTATGTGCATATATTTGATTTAAAGCGTCATTCATATATATATAAATATATAGTTTTTGTTTAATTTTTACTTTTGTATTAATTAATTAAGGACCAGTTCGTCTTGTCATTTGTAGCTATAGGCTGTTGTAGTGTTACTGTTTATTGACGGTCCCTTACTTATCCACAAAAGGTCTGGACGATTTAATCTGCGTTTTTAATGATGCATGTCTGCCATCTAGTGTTTAAAATGAAGAAGTGACATATGACCTCGTCAAGACAAAAGTACTGCGCTCTAATCCTGGCATCTATCAGGAATAAAATCTATCGTTGAACTAACTAAAATATAACCACACGAAGTTTCTGGAGAGCACCTATGTATTTTTTTAATCTTGTTTTTAATTTTAATACAAAAACTGATCATGCAAATTAAAATGTTAGGAGAGTTAACTAGAAGGGAATAATAAATAAATAAATAAATAAATAATACACGTCATTGTCTTGCTTAATAGTATAGAAGTAAGATGCCAGACTCCACCTACAAATATATGTGTTTTTTTACCCAACCACCCAGCAGGAAACCTAAAGAAATATTTATGTGAAAGAAAGGGGATATACTCAGGTATTTGTAATATAAAGTATTGACTTACTGTATGCTTTGCTTGGCACAAGTATCTTATGTGTGGATATAGATACTGTAATAACATCTAACAAACTCACGACGAAAACAGAAAAGGGAAATGTCTTCACTTAATTTGACTTGACAAATAGAAAGAAAACAGAGGTGGGAAAATATTGAGGCAACTTCTCAGAATCCTGATCAGTAGATGGCGCCCATGCAAACGCTTGTTGTCATAAACTGACAACAAGCGCAGCAGTGCGAAGAGGAAGAACATTTCTAGCAGGAGAAGCACCCGCAGAATAGTGAAGGCGCTGCTGCCCGCGGTGACTCCGGTGAACCGGCAGGAGGAGACTGCGCTCCGTCTTCCGCCTTGTCCCAGTTTCACCACAGGTTTAAGCGCCCTTTCCATCGTTTTTCTTTTTCTAAGTAAAATAAGTCGCGTTACCTTTTTAGTCCGTTTAATGGCTTTTTCTTAACCAACCCCGTCAACACAGCAACATTCGGAGGAGTCTACTGCCTTATCCATGCATTGGAGCTCTGGGCGCAGGCTCACCGGCCCCGGCTCCAGCCATGTCGGTCAGGAATGTATTGACTGGTGGCGGTGACAGAGCTGGAGGTGGCGAACCGGCAGGTAACTTTAGCACCATGCCAATCTGTCAACATAATTCTTAGTTTGCAGCCAATAAATGTCACGTAAATATGAATGGCAGAGGCAATAAATGTGGTTCCGTATTTTTTTCATCAGCTCACGGTAAGTTTAAGCTATTTTAAAACTAGGTCAGTGGATCAGTGGAACAAACTCGCGTTCTGTGTCGTTTACATGTAGCATTTTATGACTTTTGTGCACACTGTCCTCGGTATATTGTGAATAATATATCTTCATGTCAGCCTAACGCGAATGACAACGTAATTAAAGACAAATAATACGTTATGTATGCGGTGTCCTATAGCTAACGTTAGCCTCAGCTACTAAACAAGGCAAATGTTAGCTTAGCTAAGGTAGCATGGCCTGTTTACCGGCGGGGAAACTGTCATCAGAACCATCACTTTTGTCCGTGTTTGCTAAACGAATCGTAACAGTTTGTTGCAGTTTTTTTCTTGATGCATTCCTTGATCACTGGTGTCGTAAAGGTAACTGTTGTCATGTCGTAAAAAATCAAGTGGTAATGTTTTCTGCCTTAAGGCCCTTCGAGCAAAATAAATGCCCTCTGTTCAGGCTTTAAATTCAGCAGAGCTAACGTTAAGCAGACTGACTGACTGTAAGTTGGAACAATCTAATGGTATATAGTGACCCACATTTTTATTTTAAATAATTAATGTTCGTGTAAAACAGAGGAAAATTCATAAAAACACGATCATAACTTTAATACTGAGTTTAGAAATTACTGTAATATTACACACCTGTTGCTACATAACAGCATTATTTATTGCGGAGCTCTGTTTTTATCCCCAGTGTCCGTGAAGGTACTGCAGTGTAACAGATAACTTTTTGTTAGTTTTTTATCTGTTTTTTTAAACAAATTTAAATATCTTTAAGATCGAAATGACATGAAATTAACATCTTCAAGCAATCGAGTCAAAAACAACACGTGGATGTCTTCCAAACTGGGCCATAAACATATTAATATATGATGCTGCATGTAATTTAAATAGTTTTTAATGCAAAATAACATGTATGTTTATGCATGTCACTAGGACAAATTAAATATTAATAATTTATATTATGGGGTCGGCTCCATCAGTTCCATTCTGGGGTACCTTGATGTATTGTGTTATGGGAAAATTGCATGAAATGTTTGGTTACATCTTGTGTTCAAACAAAGAAGCAGATGGTAATGGTAACCCATCTGATTGTGATGGAAAATCTTAGTAGTTATTAGTTTTTGGGTCCTTTTTAGACTGGTCTGTTACACTGTACTCCTGGTGTTCTAGGTCTTTTAATCACTTGTGTTGTTGTTAGGGTTGCTTATCTACGGAACAGGTCATAAAATTGATCATTGGTGTGATTTAAAATGAGTACTCACTGACTCTGGAAACGCATTGCTTTTATTGAGCATAATAAACAGCAAAGGTGATAGCATACATTGTTTTTGTTTTGTTTTTTATTCTTAATATTCATCAAATACATCATCTTTATTTAAGAAGGTAGTAGCAGTTACTATGGATTATCATGAATTCTAAGGTATTAGACCAACATATATTGCTCACTTTGTTCAAAATATATTTTGCTCACATTTTAGTGCACTGTTGCAGCATAATGAAGGATTATACGTTAAACATGTATTCAGAATTAAATATATTTATATTTTATACATTTCTATCAGTAACATCAATCCAAGAGCGTGGGAGCCTGGTCCATTATAACACAGCACATACAGAGAACATACACAATAAATGCTAGTTGGACTGCTGTATACAGTAGAATACGACCTTTATTGACGATTGCAATGCAGAGGATGTTAATGTGTGGTTTTATTACTTCTCTGTGTTTGTATAAGTTGGTGCACTGTACTGACATGAACTTAACAGTGAACGTACTCTGTCTCTTATCTTCTCCTGCTGCTCCTCTACTCGGTCTCTTATCTTCTCCTGCTGCTCCTCTCTGTCTGTCATCTTTACTTTTGCCCTAGTGAAAACACCTACACCAGAATGCGTGTGTGAATCATTTGAAAGGCCCGTTTACACCTGGATCTGAGTTGCAATTTTACTTAACTGTGGAGAGGAGGAGCAGTTTGTAATCCTCTGTGGTCTGTAAAAGTAGAGCAGTCGATCTTCTCCCCCACACAAGCTTAGTACAGCTATATTCACACCACAGTTGTTTAAAAAACGCCAACTGCTCCAGATATCTGTTTTCTAAGGTAGGTTCCTGCTTCAAAGCTTAAAATGGAACATTTGAAAACACTGCTGGCTCAGTTTTTTGTGTGAACAGCCATAAGGTTTCTTTTGAATAAAATGAAAAGAAAATCAAGCTGACTCATCGCACTTGTGGCCACATTTCAAAAAAATATATAAACATCTCAGCCTACCATGTAAAAAATAAACACAACTGCAAATAATAATGAAGGACAAAAGTTCCCAATACACAACACAAATGAAAGAGAGCAACTGCAGCATAAGCTAATGTATGGCGTACAACTGACGAATGGAAACAAAGCCGTTTTCCTCACAAAGCACCTCGTTACGATGCTTTCGTCTGCTCAGCTCAGCCAACTATGTCCTGTTGTTATTTTAATGCCGTACCTGGAAATGATGGTGCAAAACTGCAGTTCATGGGGAATGTTTGATTATTACTCATTATGAGCATAATATTTTGCACTGAAAAAGAAGAAAACGTACTCTTTGTACATGGTGTCGATTGAAGATAATTAATATTGGCAAAAAAATGGAATTTAGAATTGGCTGAAAAAAGTGTAGCTTAAAAGTTGTACTTTTTTGATCCTGTGTTTCAGAGGATGTCCTGATTGAGGAAAACCAGCACAGCTCATTGTCTCTGCCCAGCTTAATGTCCTCATCCACAGCCGCTGGCACAGAGATGCCCCGTAAGCGTAAAGGCAGCATGGACTTGTGAGTACACTCAGTGACCCCAAGCCTACTGACCTCAAGTGATGTCATCTGTAACTCACAGTTGTTTATCTTTCTAGGGATTCAAAATCTGTTTCCATCACTGATGCTGATATGGATGACGACCAAAATGGGTACATCATGTGTCAACGCCAAGGACATTTCTTAGTCGTTACGTTCACAGAAAAGCTCTAAACTCTAAACTTTTTTTTTTCCTGTTTATCTGTCCAAATGTTTTCTCTTCAGGTCAGACATGGACGACCAACATGTTAAAATGAAATGCATCAGGTATGTTACATTAAGAATGTTTAAAAATAATTAAGCATAAACCCTTTATGAGCAGGGTACTAGATTAACTGCAGTCTCCACAGGGAACCACACAGCCAAATTGAGAAACGAAGACGGGACAAAATGAACAACCTCATTGACAAACTGTCTGCCATGATCCCCACCTGTAACCCCATATCTCGTAAGCTTGACAAACTGACTGTGCTCAGAATGGCCGTGCAGCACCTCAAATCTCTGAAAGGTATGTAGCCTGCTGAAGAGACCTTTTTTTATGTATCAAAAATATCTGGGATTAGGCAAAAAAAAAAAACCTTAATCATGATTATTTTGGTCAAAATTGAAATCACAAATATTTAAAATGATGCAGATTTGCAAGTGTGCTATTCTTATTTATACCTTCCTTTTAAACTTAAAATAACAAACTTAAAATAACAAAGTATAATGTTCAAATGTTTAAAAAAAAAATCAGAATGTTAGTGTACTCCCAGAGTCTCTTTAAACAAAACAATTAACAAGTAGTTAACCTGAATAATAGTGCTCAGGGGGGGAAAAAAATCAAAATATATGGCTCACTCTTCTCAAAATATATATAGAATCTGTTATATCAAATAATATATTTCCTTACACTTAAGATAACTGTCACAACATGTTGAAAGACACTACATTTGTATTCATAGTATTATTTATTATGAAATGTATTATACTTTATTTTATTTCAATACATTTTAATCAGTAATCCAAGCCAGGAACAGCCCTACTTTGAACTGAACTAAGGTTCACTAAAAAGCTATTTCTGTTTTGCCGGCTTTATTAACCTGACGTTGGATTGACATTTGGGAATGTTTATTTTTCAGGTTCATCAAGTTCCTTTTCTGAAGCCAACTACAAGCCATCATTCCTTCCTAATGAGGAGCTCAAACACCTTGTCATTAAGGTAAAAATATCAGTGACTGTGCAAGTTTATACATCTTTAAATCTCTGCAGCAAGGCTACTTGAATGCGAGTTAATCATGCTAATTAAAGCGTATAATTATGACTGTGCTAGAAAAGTCAAAGAAAAGAAAAAGCAGGTTACGGCGCTGTTGCTCATCTGTAAGCTTTACTCATCCAAAGAAACCCATGTTTGAGGGTTTGTTTACAGGAACATTACTGTATGTTAACATAATTATGTAGACATTTTATTGTTTTTTTTATTGGAGTGCTTAATGTTGTTCATAGACATTTGCAATTTAAAAGAACAGAGTAAACGTAACAACTGTTTTTTCTCTTCTTTTATGTTGATCATGTGACTCAGCAGCTCAGCACCCTAATCCTCTTCATATTTCTTTGTTGTGCAGGCAGCAGATGGGTTCCTGTTTGTTGTGGGATGTGATCGTGGAAAAATAGTTTTTGTCTCAGAGTCGGTCACGAAGATATTAAATTATAGTCGGGTAACACTTTTAACATTTGTTACTGTATCTGCAGCTTTTTGTCATTGAGCAAGAACCACAGACACACTAGATGCATTCCATTTTTCCTTAGTCTAAATGGACCAGAACCTTCTAACGTCACATGGTTCTGGACATACTTGGCATCCTGTGCTCCCTGAGAGCCTGTTTAGAAAATATATTTCTGTTTTAAAGAGACAATTGTCGTGTTTATGTGAGTCATGGCTGAGGAATTTTAGTAATCCAACATGCACATGCCTCAGCATAATAATAATAAGTCAGCATGTTGACATTTGAAATCTAAATACGTCATGGAAAATACCACTAATAACTTCAATTGTAATTGGATATTTTTGGACAACTAAAGAACATTTGTCCGCCACTGTCTCTTTACACCTGTTTTGTTCTTTTGTATTTGACACTAACGAGTGTAACCTATTGACAGCCAATCAACATCCATGGCTTTTTATCTTTGTAATTACATACAGAATTATTTTTACTTGTCTTTTTATCACGTACACGTCAACTACCTTTTTCATGAGTCGTTCCATTTCCCCTGCAGGCCGAGCTGATTGGACAGAGTCTGTTTGATTACATCCACCCAAAGGACATGGGAAAAGTGAAGGAGCAGCTGTCAGCCTCTGAATTATACCCCCGTGAACGGCTAATAGATGCTAAAAGTAAAGCTGTGTGTATGTGTTGGTGTAGATGTTTGTTTGTGGGTGGGTTGGGTGGTGTGGGTTTTTCCGAACACCTTTCAGAACAAAATTCCTTATGCTTAATAAAATTAGGAAAGAAATGGATAGTCAGATGCTATATTTTTAGTTGTTTTGTTTTTTTTAAGATTTTCAAGACACTGGTGTCACCCATACATCAGTAAGATAAGCAGCAGGTGGTGAAAAATGTCAGGTTTTCTCAAAACAGAAAAGAGTATTGAGAGAGTTTTGTTGCTTTTTGACACGAACTCATAATGATAAATCCAGTGTTTACAACATTTTTTGATTTCAAACCAACATTCTTGTTTTTAATTATAATGTGATAAAAAACAGAAAAATAAATGTCCTGATGGAGTCTCATTTATCCAGCTGGTCTGCAGGTCCATGCTGACCTTCCAGTTGGCGGAGCGCGGGTCTGTTCTGGGGCACGGCGCTCTTTCTTCTGTCGTATGAAGTACAACAAAATTTCTGTCAAAGTGGAGGAGAAACAATTCCAAGCCAGCTCGTCCAAAAAGAATAGTAGGTTGAATGAAGGATTTCTACTTGATATTGACAAGGCCTTGCTTTCCACGGTAAATTCTAATTTGTAGTTAGATTAGTCACAGTAGAGACTGAAGTTAACTCCAGTGCAAAAGGAGCATGAGCACCCATTCATTTTCTGGAGTTCTTTTTCATCTTGTGTTCAAGTGAAATACAAATTCTGGGATCCAATGGGGAATTGGCCAAAAGTGTAGCACTATCCCAGTATTTCACAGGACTAAACCACATAGATCTCCACATATTTGCCCTAGCATTTCTGTAAAGATTTTATGCCTGTTCTCACTCCGTTTATCTAAATGTGTGTGTGTGTGTGTGTGTCCACAGACTCACAGAAGTACTGCACAGTTCACTGCACAGGCTACATGCGCAGCTGGCCCACCAGCCAGTTGGGCACAGAGGGGGAGGGGGAGGCGGATAAACAAGACAGTGCCCACTTCAGCTGCCTGGTCGCAGTAGGACGAGTTTACTCTCACTCCACTCCCCAGGTTAACGGAGAGGTCAGAGTTAAACCCACAGAGTTCACCATGCGCTATGCCATGGATGGCAAGTTCACCTTTGTGGATCAAAGGTACAACAGAGTTTTCAGGATGGGTTGGTAGTTAAAGTTCAAAATGGGGTGAGTGATTCATCCGTGCCCTCTTAACACTGAGGTTTTCTTCTGCAGAGCTACAACCATTCTTGGTTATCTTCCTCAAGAGCTGCTTGGGACATCATGCTACGAGTACTTCCACCAAGACGACCTACCACATTTAGCTGAAAGACATCGCAAAGGTACAGTTGACCTCATGGTTTTAAAATGCAAGGTTCTACCTGGGGTGCATTCATAGAGCTGATCTGCTTTTGTTTTCCTCCACAGTGCTGCGAAGTAAAGAAAAAATTGAGACCAACTGTTATAAGTTCAAAACAAAATATGGCTCCTTTGTCACTCTGCAAAGTCAGTGGTTTAGTTTTGTAAATCCCTGGACCAAAGAAGTAGAATATATCGTGTCAACAAACACAGTCATATCGTGAGTACAATCTTCAGCTTCATGAATAATATAACTTTTATTACTATTACTATAGTTATACTGTAGTATAACTGTCGCCGAACAATGTCCGAGTGTTTTCCCTCTTGTTTTCTCGCAGTCAAGCAAGTCTGTCGGCAAACAAGTCTGAACAGTCGAGCAATGCCAAGACATCGCAAGGTCAGCTGAAATAATCGTTTGAAATAAGTGCTGTTGAATTTTTTTTTCCAGTTTTTATCTAAAAAAAAAACCAAACCTTTCTTCTCTTTGAAGATGGAAGAAAGTCACTTCCAATCATACCTGGTATCTCCAACACGACAGGATCTATGATCTATGCTGGAAGTATCGGGACACAAATTGCCAATGAGCTGCTGGATTTTAACAGGTCCGTCCTTTTGTCTGTTCTTAAGCAACTACAATTCAAAGAAGTCCATTTCAACTTTTACTGACAGAAGTACTGCACAGTTCACTGCACAGGCTACATGCGCAGCTGGCCCACCAGCCAGTTGGGCACAGAGGGGGAGGGGGAGGCGGATAAACAAGACAGTGCCCACTTCAGCTGCCTGGTCGCAGTAGGACGAGTTTACTCTCACTCCACTCCCCAGGTTAACGGAGAGGTCAGAGTTAAACCCACAGAGTTCACCATGCGCTATGCCATGGATGGCAAGTTCACCTTTGTGGATCAAAGGTACAACAGAGTTTTCAGGATGGGTTGGTTCTAAAAAAAAAAAAAGTTCTAAATGGGGTGAGTGATTCATCCGTGCCCAGTTAAAGTTCAAAATGGGGTGAGTGATTCATCCGTGCCCTCTTAACACTGAGGTTTTCTTCTGCAGAGCTACAACCATTCTTGGTTATCTTCCTCAAGAGCTGCTTGGGACATCATGCTACGAGTACTTCCACCAAGACGACCTACCACATTTAGCTGAAAGACATCGCAAAGGTACAGTTGACCTCATGGTTTTAAAATGCAAGGTTCTACCTGGGGTGCATTCATAGAGCTGATCTGCTTTTGTTTTCCTCCACAGTGCTGCGAAGTAAAGAAAAAATTGAGACCAACTGTTATAAGTTCAAAACAAAATATGGCTCCTTTGTCACTCTGCAAAGTCAGTGGTTTAGTTTTGTAAATCCCTGGACCAAAGAAGTAGAATATATCGTGTCAACAAACACAGTCATATCGTGAGTACAATCTTCAGCTTCATGAATAATATAACTTTTATTACTATTACTATAGTTATACTGTAGTATAACTGTCGCCGAACAATGTCCGAGTGTTTTCCCTCTTGTTTTCTCGCAGTCAAGCAAGTCTGTCGGCAAACAAGTCTGAACAGTCGAGCAATGCCAAGACATCGCAAGGTCAGCTGAAATAATCGTTTGAAATAAGTGCTGTTGAATTTTTTTTTCCAGTTTTTATCTAAAAAAAAAACCAAACCTTTCTTCTCTTTGAAGATGGAAGAAAGTCACTTCCAATCATACCTGGTATCTCCAACACGACAGGATCTATGATCTATGCTGGAAGTATCGGGACACAAATTGCCAATGAGCTGCTGGATTTTAACAGGTCCGTCCTTTTGTCTGTTCTTAAGCAACTACAATTCAAAGAAGTCCATTTCAACTTTTACTGAGTGCCATATTTTCTAAACACGTCAAGTGTTTCAAATAGGGTATGAACATTCTAGATGAAATATTTTTGCCGTGCACTCTATGTTTTTTTTACACACGACATTTTTCTTCTGGATCAATCACCTGTATCTTCCTTTCTTTTTCTTTCTACCGTCTTTTCTTGTCTCACCTCCCTCTCGAGTTTTCATGTTTCTGCACTCTAGGGTCATAATAATTACCACCTGGAATGCAGAAACTTCATTGACTGAGTGTTACGACACAGGATGGCTTAACTTTCGTACAACTGTTCTGTGTGTTTCCTCATTCACTAAACAGTTACTGTGAAGACTGTTAAAGCTGCACCAGCTGAAATAGAAGCGTCCCGGCAGTTTTTAAATCTCACTCAAACAAGCTTTTGTCTGGACTGAAGGTTTGGGTCCGTGGGACTGGAGAATTGTTGATTGTTAATCTGTGTCTCTGCTACTTTTAGAATGAATTCTTCACCTTCCAGTGGCACCGTTAGCCCCTTCAGTCTGCCACAGGATAAGTCTCCACAAACTAACAATCAAACCAACAACAATGTAAGAACTCCACAAATTTTGTCCCACCTTTTGTTTCGAACTATATTTATACTCACAGTTGTTAGCCAGCTTTGTTCAGAGTCTTTTTAACACAACAGTAACTTAACTTAAAACGAATGATGAATATTTTCTTTATAATATTTATATATTTTTTTACCTTTGACTTCCTTATAAAATTTCGACATTTCCTAGTCACAAAACCTATCATGTCAATTCATTTGAAATTCAAGAAGGTTTTATCGTCGTTTCAAAGTAAAAGTCATTTATATATTATTTTACAATTAACCACTGTGCCAACTCAGTGGGAGCCCTGAACTTGTCCCCCACAACTAGAGGGTCCCATAGGGTAGTTAAACCCTACACCACACAATGGGGAAATTCACAATGACTCTATCATTTAACTAGGACTTTTGGTGCCCTCTGCTGGCTCATCAATAGACATTTGTTTATTTTATTCATTTTTGTCAAAGTTAGTTTGAGGGGTTGCCATTACATGATGATGCTACAGGATATCTCTGTCATGTTTAGAACTAAAGAGTCAAAAAGAAAACAGTGGCCAGAGTCCTGTGCGAGAGCAGACCTGTGGCTGTAGAAATAAAAACTAACTTTGAGGCAAATAGACTCCTCCGACCGTGATTGAATATTCAAAACTGTGGCTATTTGCTTGAACATGTAAAGGTATATTCCTCAGTGGAGTAAAACAGATTTGTGTTATGCTGGATTTTTGTATGGATACAACTATGACCTTAGTGAGTAAGAGATATTGTGTTCAGCTGCATTATTTAACATGATCAAAAAAGCATTGACTTCAGAAGTTGACTACCTGGAAAGCAACAACTTTTAATAATGAAGCTTGCCAGAGTTGGTGAAGCTAAATTTACCATTCATAGTTTTGAGACTTTCCTGTTTTGCTGATGTGTTCTGTAGGTGCCAAATGGAGAGGCAACGGATATGGAGATGCCAGGAAAGTCCAGCTTAGTAGATGAGGCCCAGGGTGCTGCATTTTCAGGAGGAGATAGCCTCATGGGTATTCTTACACACCATGTTAATTTAGTTGATTTTTTTTTTTAACTACCAAATAAGAGTGTCTAATTCTGTTCTTTCGCTCTTTCATCGCTTATCTCTCTGCAGGTGAGAACTCTCAGCTGGACTTGGACAGCGTGGTTGGACCAGGGCTCGGTAGTCTTAGCAACGATGAAGCAGCCATGGCAGTGATCATGAGTCTCTTGGAGACAGACACAAACTTGGGCGATGCAGTGGACTTTGAGGAGATACACTGGTCCTTATAGAATCGTCTTTTGCAGTGTGACCCTGCAGCGCCCTGAGAGTCACGTGGACCGTGGGTCTATTGGTCTATAGATAGACTGCTTTAATACTTTAAAGATGCATTTGACTTTAAAAGACTTATTTATTAGCTACCTTTTCCACTTAAGCTGATGAAGTCTTCAGGCGGTTGCTCTGCCTTGAGCAGAATAGTAGTCTTCAACTAGGGGAAACTTCACCTTCCCTCTTCAGAAGGATTAACCTTGAAAGCCTTACAGCGACCCACACCTTCCCTGAAACAGTGTTCCTTATCACTTTCCTTATCACAACAATTGTTTATCCTCTCTTTAACTGAAATGACTTTTTTCTTTTTGGGGGGCTGAAGGACTAGTGGAAACGGAAAACAAGAGACGTGGCGTTTATATGTCACAGCTGCTCAAGGTTTCTGTCGATGTTTTACTCCTCCATCAGCATTTGATCTATAGTTGGCGGCGAAGCAAAAACACATGCACTGAATTAATTTCATGTTGTTTTTTTTTAAGGTCATAATCTGATTAGGTACTTTATGTTAAATTAGAACATAAGAATGACAACTTGACAACCTGGCCCATGTCTTTGATCCTTGAGGATATGACATTGTAGACAGGCAGTAAACCATGTACAACCACACATCTGTAACCTCTAACTGTGACAGTCTCCACAACGTTGCTGCTCAGAGAATCTGAACATTTTTGGGCTGTCTATAAACATTTTTGTACACTGACATGACCAATACTGTATGTATATATACTGTATGTATGTTTGTGTGTGAGTGTGTGTGTAGATTTGTAATGACAGCAAATGCTGTCCACGGGCGGTATATCTCTTACGTCTTTGCATAGAAAGAGTATTTAAAAAATTTACAACGGACACTTACAGACTGCCATGGATTTAAGCGCTTAATATTAAATATTTTTTGGTTGAAAACAACAAATAAGTTCAATCTCAGTTTGTTATGATGAAAGCCATTTCCGGTGGTAGGAGTGATAACTCAGGGAGTGATGGAAGCATAGCTGCCACATAAACTTTCACAACCATTCTTTTGTCCTAATTCTGCTTTTTTTCTTTTTCATGTACAGTTCACTGGTATGTGGCACAGTCAGTCTGCCCTTTTTCTTCCTCAAGCTTTTTCATACTTGTTACCTGCTTTTTAATTTCGCAGGTTAGCCATAACCCTAGCTGATCTTTTTGTCATGTACCGTACTTGCACTGATGTTCTTTGTTTTCACATTCTTCTCAGAGCACCTGTAGAAGCCTAAGGGTTTAAGCTGTGCAGAGCTGTCATTCTGTACTTCTTAGAAACGTGCTGTTTCTTCTCATCTGTTGTCAACTCTGCTTTGAATGCCTGACTCGTAAAAACTGCAGGAGTTTAGGACAGGTCTGAAGTATATGTACATGTGTTATAGCAGATCACAGTGAAGTGAAGACTGATCACGTGCGTTGTAAGTCAATATTGCTTAGTGTTTGTCAGTATTTTCTAGATGGGAACATCGTGGATTCATCAATGTTTTAGGTTGTAACCTTCATTTGAAAATATCTTAACAAATCGGGTCAGGGCTGATATATTTCTTTATAATATTTATGTTTCTTTGATATATTTCTTTCTGCATGGCATGATATATGCTGTATTTTGCTTATTTGCCCGTAACTAATAATCAGGTCTCCATTATTAGCTTTCTCCCAATAGGTATTTCAGTGTGTAAAATAAGAGTGTTAGATTAGAATGTGTGGTTACATCAGCTGTCAACACAAAAAACCAATGTGTGTTTAAAGTGCCTTCTTGGACAT